ATCTTCGACCTAAGCTTTGAGATCTAAATAGAACATGATTATAGAGGGATCGAGATACAGATCAGGATATAGAAGAAGAAGAAGAGAGACGAACCTGAGAGAGATAGGGAGGAGGCACTGTGAGGAGTTCAGCCCCGTCTTCTCTGTGCGGACGCCACGAGAGAGAGAGAGAGAGCGAGAGAGAGAGAGAGAGAGACGGGTGTACTCACAACTAGGGCACTTGCTTCGTGACCTGGGTTCGCACGTACCGGACCTGGGAGCTGGACTCGGACCGATCCCGAACCACGTATTAGTATTTTTTTTTTGTTTTACATATATATCCTTTCGCAATTTCTAAATGGCATATTTGCCCCTACAAACTTTAATATTACATGCATATCCCTCTTGTCCTCTAGATGTTTATATCTTTCATGTCTATTATGTTGTCATCCATCTAATAAACTCAAATCAGTACTAGCGATCATTATTATCTTTAAATATTAAATACATAGAATATCATTTATTACTTTCATTAATTATATGTTTCCTCATGTATCTTCAAGTTTTTGAATTTTACAACAATGTGTGTGCTTAACTTAGATTTAGAGAATAGAGGATAGATAGTATTTATAGATACATGCAATTTGTTTTTTTTCTTTACATATCTATTTTTTAAATGTTAAAATAATCCATTTATGTTTACAATTTTTTATATAGCATATGCCTACTCAAAATATTAATATCCGTCAAATACAATCCTCCTACCAATATCAATCTAAGAAACTTGTATTGCTAACAATTAAGTATAGTTACTATTATCTAATTTAGCTTAAAATATGTAAAATACCTCAAATGCATCTTATGTTATATAATTTAATAATTTACTTAAATAGAATAAATTTTATTTAAAATTTTAAATAATAATTAACTTATGGAGATTAATCATACTTATATATGTAATATTTATATGTTAGAAGATGTAATAGTTATATAATTAAAATAATATATTTTATCGAAAAAAATTCATATCAATGGACTTTTACAAGATGGCACCTCGTTTTTACTAAGGGAATTTTCTTTTATTTTGACTAAAATATTTTCGATAAAATCATTAAATGATAGTTATTATCATTTCACTATATTTGACTTAATATTTTGTTGAGTTGAATCAAACCAAATTGATTCAACTAAATCTTAATTATTTAATTATTTTAATTCAATCATATATTACCCCATGATTTTTTTTTAATTATCATTTTCTCTTCCACCTCTACTCGGTTGTCTTCTCTACCACCATCGTCAACTTCTCTTCCACTTCGTTGCCTCCTCTCCATCTCCAATGGCTTTCTCTACCATCATTGTTTTTTCTCTCACGCCACCTCTACCTCCTCGTCTTTATAGGCTTTCTCCTCCTCATCCTCCTCTCGCTCCATTTTCGTCTTCTCCTTTTGGCTTGTTGGGAATGGTTGGATTGGGTTTAGTTGTGACATTTTATGCATTTTAGCACTAACTTCTGTGTTTTTTGGTTTGTCCTTCTATTGTTTCTGCAGGGGTATAGAAAGGTTGATCCTGACTAGTGGGAGTTTGCCAACGAGGGATTCCTGAGAGGCCAAAAGCATTTGCTGAAGATCATCAGTAGGAGGAAAGCAACCCATGCACACAACCATCAGCAGAAGCCTCAAACACAGACTTGGAGAAATTTGGGCTAGAGGAGGAGATTGAGAGGCTCAAGAGAGACAAGAATGTACTAATGCAGGAACTGGTCAGGCTAAGGCAGCAGCAGCAGGCCACTGATCAGCAGGTTAAACACCTTGGGTCGGCGCTTTCAACGTAGGGAACAGCACCGGCAACAGATGATGTCATTTTGGCAAAAGCCATGCAGAGCCCTGGTTTCTTAGCTCAGTTGGTACAGCAAAATGACACCGATCGATGCATAGTTAGAGTGAACTAAAAATGGAGATTGCCTAGGTAAGAAAATAACCTGGATGGTGAAAGTGCCTTGCAGATTCTCAATTCTGACACGTCTCCTAGGCTGGAATCTTTAGGCAGTTCTCAGAACTTGTTGATTGAGAATTATTCTTCACCTTTGGAAGCTTTTGATAGTAGTTCTTTAAACCGGATATCAGGAGTTACTCTATCTGAATTGTCTACTACTTCAGGCATTTCATCTATGCTCACAAGCTCTGGGCATTCAACAATGCCTTCATCTTCTGTGCCATCTACGATGCAATAAGATGCCTAATGGATTAAATCATAGCTTTGTCGAGCCAAACATGGAAAGGATTCCTGTGACAATAAGATGCAGTTGACAGCGTCTTCCACCCGAGTCAACTCGTGACACGGGCCTTAATGTCGAAGGGACGAGTCAGGTCATTATTCAAACTCATGGAATAAGTAGAAGAACGACATTGTAATCGATCTTTTGACTTTGGCTGATGAACTAACCGACTCCCGTTTAGTTTACTACACACCTCTCAACTCAAGTCAGCTAAGAGTGAAGCTCAATAGGATCTTCTTTCCTCACTCATTCCTGCAAGCCCAATCTCCTCTCTGTTGTCTACTACTATCCTTGCCACATCAACATTATTTTCTGTGTAATTTTTACGAGTACAGTTTAGTTAGCCCTGTGTGATTTACCTAACTAGACATCTACTCGGATTTAATTCAGGTTGAGTGCCAACACCAAATAATAGGGATTACAAAACACTCCATCTCAAGTTTCCAAACTTTTGATGATTGTTTGCAGCTTTAGATGAGTGTGCAGCTCACATATTAGCCTATAGTGGACTTGGGTAGCCCACACCCCCTCTTAATTTAACCCTAATTAACATTACGAGGGGTGTGATGACTACGAGACAGAAAAAGACATAAATAGGGCAGCAATGTGGGAGAAGATGACAGCCACGAGATTCCAAAGAAAAGGAAGAAAACAAAGCGAGAAAGAAAGGGAAGAAGACAAGAACAACGCAGAGAAGCTGTTCTCAATCATCTAGCAGTGTTCTCATATCAAGTTAGATCAAATCTACAGTAGGCTTTTGCTGTGATTACCTGGGGAGGTTTTAGATATCGTGGACAGTGACGTGATCCTTGTATCCGTGTTGTTCTCTTGTGATTGTTGCGAGGGTTTAGGTAAGAGATTGAGATTTGTACATTCATTATTCTCATAGTGGATTATCTCTAGTTTGCCCGGTGATTTTTACCGTTCACATTGAAGGGGTTTTTCATCTATATCTTACTGTTTTATTTGATTATGATTCCATTTAATTCCACTGCATATAATAACCTGTTAGTATTTGTTCATATACAAAGATTATTCCTGATTTATATTCCTATCAAATACTACACAAGGCATTATTGCTAAATCATGACTTTGTTTTTGTCATTTAGATTTATTTATCACAGGAGTCACCGTGTCAAAAGACAACGGAAAAAGCCAAAAAGAACTGTAGAATATAAATAATTCATGAATAAAAAAGACAAAAAAAATTATGCATTCGAACGTGCAGGGGCTCAAAGTTCATTTAATGCCAACATTAGGTCAACGCGACGCCAGGCGTTGACCTGCATGAGAAAGCATTCCACCGTCGCAGCCATTGCCCCTCTACTCCGTTGACAATGACGTGGCCAGCCGCCAAGTCGGACCGGCACAGCGGGCAGGTGGCGTGGCCGGCGAGCCAGGGGTCGATGCAAACCGGGTGGAACCCGTGGCGGGACGGCGGCAGCACCCGGAGAGCGTCGCCGACGCCGAACTCGGTCAGGCACACGGCGCATTCCCGCCCCACCATCCCCTCCCCGGCGCCCCTCGCTTCGGGGCACGTCACCACTGGGAACGACGCCAGCACGGCCGGGTCGAGCCCCCCGGTCACAACCTTCTTCGCCCGCCGCTCCTCCTCCTCGTCGTCGTCGGAGGGCGAGACAAAGGCGAAGTTGACGAGCGAGGCGATGACGAGGAAGCAAAGGACGAAGGAGAAGATTTCGGGAACGGCGCGGTCGATGCAGGCTAGCTCTGTACCGTGCGGCACGGGCGGCGCCGCCGGGGGTGGCGGGCTGCTGCCGGAGACGCAGTCACCGCCGGTGGCGTAGTAGAAATCGTCGTCCATTGGGCGGGCGGATCCTCTCCAACCGCGACTTAAATTCGTCCCGCGACTCCCACAACGGAACCGCTCCGCTGAAGTGGGCCCAGCCGAAACCCTCTATATATATTCGCTAGGAAGCTCCCTTTCCTGATACTATAATTGGACAGGATCCTGACCCACTTCTCCCGTAGTTTCTCCGTTGGGTTCCGCCATCAGGTGTCGCTCCTATTCCCATCTCCGGCGGTTGTCTA